AGAGGTGGCAGTGGTTTGGAAATTCTACCATGCACCACCATGGTAGTGAGGTTTAGTTTCATACGGTTTCTTACCGCCCAGTGTTGAATGCTGTCAATCTCAATAAGAAGGTGATCTTGATGTGCGGAAACAGGTACACTTAGTGTAAGATCGTCAGCATATTTGAGCAATAAATTGCGCTCCGGGTAAACCGGTCTTATATCGTTCACCATAATGGAGAATAATATAGGCCCGAGGACCGTATATTGCGGTACCCCTCTATTAATGCTAACAAATTCGGTGACAAAGCCGTCCACGACTACTCTTTGTTTCCTATTGTTAAGAAAACTAACGATCCAATTGAAAACATAAGGATTGATATTAAGTGACATTAACTTATTGCAAACGATAGCATCTGAAATATTTTTGCTCGCGCGCAAATACATCACGAGACTGAATCTTCTCCAGATAAAAAAAGTGGGGGATGTCCGAGGTTGTGATCCATCAAATATTTTTGCTCGCGCGCGATTGGTTTGAATTATCACTTGACCGAATATTCCCCAGCTTAAACCTCGCTGGTCACGATTTTCCTTAAGCTTCGTTTTCGGACGACTGCTCCCTCATCGGAACAGATAACGTTCGCGGAAAAATATCCTCGCTACTTTTGCGCCAAACAGAGGTTATTGTTTATTTATATTCCAACAAATACTTTTTACTCATGCGCGATTGGTCAAAACGCTTCACGTAACCGAGTATCCCCCAGCTAAAACTGAGGGATATCCGAGGATGTAGTTATGTGATTATTATCTTTTATAATTCTGACGTGATAACGAATGAAATAAGTTAGCTTGTGGCCTGTCGTTTGATAAAATATTTGAAAGATATTAAACGTAAGAGCCTCCGTATTTTCCCTTTACGGTGAGCGGACACTTTTTACGGACACTTTTTTAGGCACTTTTTACGGACACTTTTTTCGCTCCTCGAGGGTGTCCTCTTAAGAGAGCTTCGACTGCATACGAGTAGAACACAGATCAAAGAGGTTTCACAATACGAATTTACCCATGCCGGAAACCATTGCTGCGGCCGATCGATCGCGCGATAGATCACTCTTTTTCTGCCTCATTTAAGAACTCTGGTCCAAGGGTCGCAAAATTGTCTTCGTTTTGGGACTGGTGGGCCGAGTCTCTGTTTGTATCCATTATCATATAAGGGGCAAAATTACTGAATTGTGATTGGTCAAAACAGAGGGCATTTTTTCTTAATTTTTGTAATTGCCCCGGGCAAAATTACTTGAAAATGATTGGCGGAAAATCGCTTAGAAACGGCTGCCAAGGTAAAGAAATTTCTTTTGTAATGATTACAAAAGCTGACGTTTCGANTCCTTAATTTTACTCGGCCCCATGCGATTACCTATACTTATTGTCGCCAAATATTTAAGAATTTTAACAGAGCGACAACGAGGATCTGTGCGACGAAGTACAAAAAAGTAAACAAACGTCCCTATTGGCTCGTCAAAATCACGCTACAGTTTACTACTTTGGTGTTAAGGCGAGCGCATTTGATCCAGTTAACTGTGAATGAAGAGCTTAAAATTAACGGGAAAAATGGAGGAAATCTAAGCTAAAAGAAGTCTTGTGTCACTCTAAAATGTTTTAATACTCAACGATTGGACAATTTTGCGAAACGTGCAACTTGCGAGTATTATTTCGGCCGTGTTTTTTCGGGGTCTGAGTTTTCGGGTCTGAGTTTTCGTGACAGGGTGTCACGAAAATTCAGACACCGAAAAAACAAGGCCGAAAAAATACTCGTAATAAAACATTTAAGAGTGACACAAGACTTCATTAAGCTTAGATTTCCTCCATTTTTCCCGTTAATTTACGATCTAACACCAAGGTATTAAACTGTGGCGTGATTTTCACGAGCCAATAGGGACGTTTGTTTACTCTTTTGTACCTCGTCGCAGAAGATCCTTGTTGACGCTCTTTTAAAATCTTAAATATTTCGCGACAATAATGGATACAAACAGAGACTCGGCCCACCAGTCCCAAAACGAAGACAATTTTGAGACCCTTGGGCTAGAGTTCTTAAATGAGGCATAGAAAGAGTGGATCTATCGAGCAATCGATCGGCCGCAGCAACGGTTTTCCGCATGGGTAAATTTGTATTATGAAACCTCTTTGATCTGTGCTCTACTCGTATGCAGTCAAAGCTCTCTTAAGCGGACACCCTCGAGGAGCGAACAAAGTGGCCGTAAAAAGTGACTTAAAATCTCTCAATATACAGACCGACATAGTCGCTTAATAAGCCGTTTTCTGATCGCCCCGTAAAAAGTGCCTAAAAAAGTGTCCGTAAAAAGTGTCCGCTCACAAGAATGGGAAAATACAGGGTTTGTACGAATTTTAATAAAACGGGGTTTTGACTAGGTGGCCGTAATTAGAGCTGTCCACTTACTAGAGTGTCCGTTAATATTTAATCAGCCAGGCGACATTTCGAACTTCATTACTCATTCATATCCCTTAAATTATCTATTAGAATGCACCCAATTAAATACTGGCAGCCAAGGAAGAGTTTTAATTCATAAAATGTTCTATGCATTTACCATGTTCACTGCGTGTTAAAAAATTATGCAAAAAGCACATTGAATCCAAGTGAATCTACACTCGTGGTTGATTGTGTGACATAAAAAAAATACGCTATCACGATGTCGAGTTTATCTCTTT